GTTGCACCAATTAACTATTATAATATATAATAAAAATTAAAAACATTAAAAAATATAATCAGAAAATATTAAAAAATTGAAGGGTTAAAACTGTAAATATCAAAAAATTAAAATTAAAAAATAAAATAAATTGGATTTTATGTATTTTGTTAACATAGGAGGGGTATATAAAAAATAGGGGAAAAAGTGTAAGAGGGATGGGGATAGAATAACTTTTTTTTTTGTCAAGGGGTGCTTTTGCCCAGTTGTTTGACAATTACTTACAAAATCATTTTTAGAGGGTTTTAGAATCATTAAGAGGTAGACATTTTTTTTTGCCAAATAAGATTCATATCTTAACGATTCAGATGCTGTCTTTTAATGGAACTATTAAGAGGTAAACAAACAACCCCTCACAATGTGTAACTCCTCTTATGCATTTTATATCCTTTAAGTTACTTAATCATATATTAATTAAAATACATTAAAAAAACACGTTTTTTATTTTAATAAGTTATATCATTATAATCTTCTCGTCAGTATCTTCAAAATGAGTCCAATATTAAATATTTTTTATTAAATTATATTATATTATTATATCATATTTATACTAGGAAAAAATATTTTTAAAAATTACACTTTATACCCTTAAAGTTACTTAATTAATTTTTTAGGTCCCTTACTTTTTCATTTTTCACCCTTATCACATTAACATATATATAGTTGTATATTAACTAAAATACATTAAAAATAATACGTTTTCATTTTAACAAGTTACACCATTATAATCGTTTCGTCAATTTCTTCGAAATGAGTCCAATATCGATAATTATATTATAATATCATATATAGTAGAAAACAATATTTTTAAAATTACACTTTATACCTTTAAAGTTACTTGATTAATTTGTTTTACGTCTCTTGTTTTTTTTAATTTTTCGTTTTACACTCTTATCACATTAACATACATAATCGTATATTAACTAAAAAAATACGTTTTCATTTTAACAAGTTACACAATTATAATCATCTCGTCAATTCCTTCGAAATAAGCTCAATATTGAATATCTTGTTATTTAACCATATTATAATGACGACGAATTGTTTTTAACATTTACACATTATATCTTTATATAATTAAATCAAAAAATATTCAATATTAGGCTTGTTTCGAAGATATTGACAAGACGATTGGTGTAACTTGTTAAAATTAGAACGTATTCTTTTATATATTTTAGTTAATATACAATTATATATGTTAATTTAGTAAGGGTATAGAATAAAAAAAGAACATAGCACAAATTAATTAAGTAACTATAAAAATATAAGAATTTTAATATTAAAAATATATATTAAAGAAGTGTTCAAATAACAAGTGGTCGATTATCGCTTTCAATTTTTGGGAAACTTGGAATAATTGGAAAAGAAAAACTAAGCGCAAAAATAAAGAAAATATGAATTAAAATTAGATATATTTGGCAGATTAATTGATAAATTAGTTCATTTATATCCGTTCAAACGTGTACTAAAAATAAGTTCGTTTATAAGCCAATTTATGTTTGTCAAATAATGTCTTATTTTGGTGGGATCATCCCATTTTTATTTGATTAAATTTTAATTATTAAAAATATTTTAAGTTATATAAAAAGTCTAATAATCACATAAAGTGAGATTCATTTGAGAAGTAGTAAGTATTTGAAAAATAAATAAGTGATCCTAACTATTTATATGGTTAAAATTGGTCAAAAATTATGGTTTTCATTACTTTTTAAATTAACCTATGACTAATTATACAATTTTAAAATCATGTATTTTTATTATAAATATTTATGTAGGGACAGTTATTTGAAGACACAAATTCGCATTGGATTTGTCGAAGAAAAGTCTTCATACAACTTGAATATGTTATTACATCATAGATTTTATTCTTATTATTAAATTCATTTTTTTAAAAAGAGAACACTCTCTTTTATTATATTTTTTTTAGATTTAAAAATTATTAATTATATATAATCCACGTTAAAACAAAAATAGTTGTATAAAAATGTAAGTATTTTAATTCGATAATATATTTTTAAAATCTTTATTTTAATATATCAGTTCGAATATTTACGTATTCCGTTTACACCAATCAAATTTGATGGTTTCATCTCATGGATCTGAAAGTAAAAGAGTTGTAGTTAAACTACTTGGTCCTAATGAACAAACACATGAAAGCAATAAGACGACAACCGAAGCCTGTTGCCGCAAGAAACCCCAGACATTTCTTTGAGTTATGAATGTCGTAATTGAATTGCTGCAATGCAGCACATCGTGTCAACAACCAGACACCTTTGTACCTGAATCAAACAAAACCCCAACCCAAAATCAACACTAATTCCGTAATCAATCAATCAATCAAGATTCAAACTGAAACCAAGTTCTTTAACATACTCTTTGGCATTTGCAATAACGAAAGCTTCCAAAGCCCACCTCGGGAACACAAATCGTGCTACCACAAAAGCAACAGACTTTTTCTCCTGATTTGCGATCAAGGTCAATACAACAGGAAGAAGCACAGACCACTGCGTGAAACAAAAATATCAGAAGTAAGTTCATACAAATAGATTATATATATATATAGTACTTTGGAAGGCAGCATACATACCAATTGGGCTTGGCTAAACTCCAGGGAGATGGCAAGCGTATAGGATATACCAGTCACGCAGTAAACCAGGCACAAGAGTATTACGTAATTGGATTCGAAGCTTGATCTTGGATAGCTGAAAAAATAGAAGATGCAAAGATAAACCAAGGGCTTCAACACCACGTTTAAGAGGTCCATCGTATCTTTCGCCAGAAAATAAGATAAACTGTTCATGCCACTGGCACTCTCCCTCTTGTATTGTAATTTATCCTGAGAAAATGTTCTCAAAGCTCCAATCATGCACAACAGAGCTGAAAATCACACATCAACACCATACTAATAATTAGTATATCAAACAAATTCTATGTTTCTTGATTAATACATGTTATACATGATTAATGCTTTCTCTATTCCAAAATATTTGGAACATTCATATAAAAGCACTAGTTTATCCCTATATCTTGTTTCTAAAGATGTCCAAAAGTTAAAAAGATTCAAACCCACATAAAGTTTCCATATTTAAGCTGTGGTACTGGTAGCAAGTAAGAGGTAGAGAAGATGAGAATTGTTTTAAATATTTCTTTTTAACCAAATGGCCGAATATTTTGGAAAGGAGGGAGATATGATAACTTAAGAAACCAAGAGGCAATGTTGTTTGATAATACAAGTTATTTGATATCGATCAAGGGCAATAAAACAGAAATGCAATGGGAAAATGGAATAATGAACTTGTGTTTTTTTTCTCTATGTTGCACTTACAGACAGCTATGACGGTATATTGATAACCAGTATATCCAAATGACACATCACTCACTTCAGCCATAGTTCCTAAGCATGCTCCAGCAAGCAAAAGAATTAGGTAGTCTGCAGCTTGTGCTCTAGCATCTCGCATTCGCTGCTTAGCAACCCTGTACACACAAATCACATTTCCTTACAAAGAAATAACGTTTATCAAGATTCAAGACTTCCCTGAGAATAACTTAAATACATGCCAGCTCCCAAGTGTTATTTAAGAGAACAACCTTCTCATAGATTTTTTTCAAAATGCATGACCTTCCGATAGGCTTTGAGGCATTCTTCAGTTAGGAACAAACATTCTTTTGTTAGGCAGAGACGTTCTTATAATATGTAAGAAAAAGAAAGTAAAGTCATGCATTTAAAAGAAATATGTCCGAAGGTTATTCTCCTAAAACCTCCAGCTTGCAAGGTCTTGCTTACCCCATCCTCCACAATTCTTTCTCGGGACAGACTACATAAGAATACATAAGGCAGAAATTAAATGATTTTATGAACTAGCAGAAAACTTAAATGAACCTTCTGGATTTTTACTACTTACTGTTAAAAGATGTAATTTATTCATAAACAGATGTAAGAAAATTCAAAGAAAAGTGCACCTTTGAACATGTTCTATGTTACAGGAATTAACTGATTAGCTGCATTAAGTGGAATTGTGGAAAGGAGAAGCAGACAGTTAATTAGTGGTCGTAAAGGTGGAAGTTAGTTTGGGGAATGGCGCCAAAGTTTGTTAAGATGATGTATATATAGATGCATTGTAATTCAGAATTAAAATTCAAACATGAATAGACAATACATTCTTTCTCATCTCTCTTTCTCTCTCTGTTTTCTTCTTTCATCAAGGGCGAATATAAATCACCCTTAACATTGGTATTATAGAGCCAAAATCCTATTATGATTCTTGATTCATCTTGACAAGGTGGTTCTGACAACCAGGAAGTACCCATAATTTCTTGGATCTATCACTAGCCACGAAGTTAGGACTTAGGATGTAAGGTAAAGATTATTTCTCCCCAGGCTATAACAGTCGTGGATGGTAAACCTTTGGTTTGCCAACATGTTTGTAAGAATTTCGCTTGGGAAATGCGATGGAAAGCTTTTGAGCCTGATATGATCTAATTCCTTTAAGAAGTTGTGACATGGTCATTCCGATGCAGTGTCTGTCTTTTGGGACCAATATATTGGTATTTCAAGAGGCTGTTAATGCAGTTCACATGTGACGGTCAACAGTTTACGTTAAAAAGGATTCCATCGCAGAAATTAAAGGTAGTGGAGGGTGAACTTAAAGATAAGGCAACTGAAACAACAGTTCATTTATTTCAGCCAATTTTCAACACCTAACATGACTCAAGTTGTAAATCGTTTTCTGATGTACTTAGTAACATCCAATATAAAAAGAAAAAGTCACAATTCATATTAAATTGCAATGAAAAGAGAAAAATAGAGAATATTACCTTCCAAGGTAATATTTGTACTGCTTGAAAACTCCAGGAGTTACTCGGCCAGATAAATCTGGGGTTGTGAAGTAATTGTATCGTTCAGTTTCTCGCTGGCCCTCAGCTTTCACGTTGGCTAGACCAGGAAGTGCAGATGATGATACACTTTGCTCACAAAGATGCAACATATCTGGGGGTACTCTGTACCCGTTATGAAGCATCCATCGTACTGGAAGCTGCTGAGCTGTCACATCCCCTCCTGGTTTTATTATACCCTCAAGTATATCAATTAAGTGGTCTGGAGTATTTACACGGTCAGGTATAGTGATTCCTAGACCTTCAAAGTATTCCTCCACCTTCTCTATAGGTCCATGATACACAGTAAGACCACCTTTTGCGAGAAGTATCAAGTCGTCAAACATCTTATACAAGAAGTAGCTGGACAAGGAAAAAAACACACTTCCAATAAGCACACTTTTCATGCTTTGGATTTCAGAAAAATTTGAACCTCATAAACAAGGCTTCACGCAAATATTTAAAACTTTCATAGGCTCCAAATACAAGATGATGAAAATTTCAATTAAACGACTTGAAAAATATGGGTGGTGAGAATACTCCACATCATCCATGGGGACTAAATTTCTATTAGCTTATCAGCTAACATCTAGTTTGCCAAACATAGCCTTAAGCATTTTGCACATGACTTGAATAATTTGACTGCATACTTTTAGTCCCACTTCATCCAATAACAAAATTTAGTTTTGTCGTAAGTTGATCAGGTGAGTTGTTAAATAGTTTACATCCATTATCTCAAGTTTTGGATCGAACTAATCCATTGACACAAATAGTTCCAATGATAGCATTAGTTTAGTATGGCCAAGTAAGTGTTGTTCCGCATGGTATAGAATACTTTCTCATCTTGATATGTATTTACATTCAGGGTTTCTTAAGCTCATCAATATTTTTAAGTGATGATTTATACATAAGATGTAGCTTGTTTGATGAAAATGTATTGTGATAACAGAGTAGCTATGAATATTTTCAAGAATCAGACGTTACAATAGCATATAAAGCACGTTGCAGCTGATAATCATTTTGTATGTCAGAAGGTGGTTGGTACTTCTCAATAACCTCCCTCTATGGAGTCAGATTAAGCATGTTGAAGCTGATAGTCATTGATCCTTTTCACCATTATTTGTTATACATTCAAGGTTCTATGAGAAATTCTTTATGTTTGGCCCATTCCGGTACATTCTACCCTATTTATCCTCAAATTGGAAGTACGTGCCTTCCAAGAACCTCTCTTTTTACTCCGACAACTACAATTTCCAAAATTCTTGGTCATTAGAAGAATAGAAGTAAAGAAAAACAATAGACAATCTCAATCTGATGATTCTTCAGACTAAGATCTGAAATGGGTTCATGTACAGAAGATAAAGCTACATACGAACATGTATAAAATAGAAGTGAAAGAGTGAAAGATTCCGCATGACTATGAATCGTTAGATAACCTAAATTAGAGATATACAACTTAAAATTGTATTATATCTATATAATATGTCATGTATAGCCATCAATATCCTGATTCCTGAATAGCTTAAAGTCAATCCCTGAACATGAATGATGGGTTTCAAGTTAAACTTAGCACCATACATTTAAAATAAAGCAAATATATGATGTATAGATCACATAAGTAATACTCCCTTTATCCCAAAATAATTGCATAGTTTGGCATGAAAAATAATTTAATAAGAGTATTTTACCAACTCATATATCTAAAATACGCAGGACTAAATAGAAGAATCTAGTGGACCAAAATTAATATTAACAATATTTTGTCATTTAGCTTTTTTTTCTTCTTCTTTGATACTTTGATTTTAGTAGAAAGATGGAGTAGTTATATACCTTGGTTGGTGAACAACCATGCTGATGTTAACTCCTGCAAGAGCTTCACGTCGAAGAGCTCTAAGAAGCAAACTGGAAGATGCACTGTCCAAACCAGATGTGGGCTCGTCCAAGATTAAGAGCGAAGGTTCCATCACCATTTCCAGCCCAACATTCACCCTTTTCTTCTGTCCTCCAGAAATTCCACGCTTTTCAACCGTCCCAACCTTGGAGTCTCTCACTCCCTGCAGCCCCAATGCCTCAATAACTCTTTCAGTTATAAGAACTTTATCTGCCTTTGGCATATCGGCAGATAGTCTTCAGATTGCAGGATTTTAGCAATAGTAGAAGACAATAAGTCAGTATATATATATATATATACACACACCTTAAACAATAAACGGTACATCTTTTTGTATTACTTGTAAAGTGGCGTACCTGCATCGTGCACTGAATCGTAGGTTCTCTTCTACAGTCAAATCTCCATGCACTATATCATCTTGTGGTACAAAACCAACAATTTTTTTGTACGAGTGAATGGATTCATTCTTTCCGTTGATTAGAATCATCCCCGACATAGTGCATCCTGATAACTTTCCAGTCAGAGCAGAGAGAAAAGTAGTCTTTCCTGCTCCTGAAGGACCCATTACAGCAGATATTCTACCTGGAAAAATTTTCCCACTAACCGATCTCATTATAGTTTTGTTTTTCCCTTTGAGAGTTAGCGTTAGCTCCTTAAAAGCAATCTCAATCCGTGGCCTTCTCCTCAAAACATCTCCGTCACCATACATCATTGGGAATCCTCCTGGAGAGCTCATGTTCATCTCCTCCATTGCTTTCTCTCTCTCAATTTGACCATATGCATACTTAAATATTTGGCTCCTGGTATGCAGTTCTTTTGAAGTTTTACGCTGGTGCTTTGTATTGTTATCTTTGTTTTCCAAATTGGAACCATTACCGCTCTCAGGATTATCATCATGCAACCTTTTTGAGGCAATTTCTGTCTTTCTGTTCCCTTGTGAAGCTGAGGGGCCTGCAGGTGGGAGAGAACTCTTGGTTTTCGTTCTGGAAAATTTTCGCGAAAGCGTATCTTGCAACCCCTGCAATCCTGACGGTTTCCAGCCAGCTAAATCTTTTGCAGCTTTCGACTTTTGACTTGCTTGTACTGACTCTCGTGCATACTTAGCTGCCGCTTCCCTGGATTTTGCCTGTTTTTCGTACCGAGTTGAGATTACTTGGTCTGAGCAATTATAGACGACTATCAGTATAGCGGTCAACAAAGCCTACGAAAAACAATTGCATAGCATCAAATGTGCTTCTGTTAGATTCAACTCAGAAACTTGGAGACTATATTTAACCTTCTTTAACGAATGATCAACTACTTACAATGAGCAAGATTCCATAAACCTTCATGCTTGGAATTTCTGTTCCCTTTTCGCACTTAGTGCCAATGAAGCACCCTACATATATTTCAATAAAGGCTAAATCTTGATAGACTCCATTGTATTTGTATATTATACAAAATTAAAATTTGACCGAAAAGGGATAATTGGTGCATTTTTACCCTTCACAAGAATACTACGCTAAAACGGGTTTATGTGCTAGTTATTAACATTCAATTGATTGGTTTGAGGTTATTGACAGAAATGATTAGCCCTAAAATCCAGAAGAACTTACGGTATTTAACCCTAGAGCCCATCCTGCAATAGCATCTGCAATCAAACCAAAATAATGCATGAATGAATGCATATCAGAAGGAACAACTAACAACAAATCCATGCACAGTAGTGGAAAGTGGAAACAAAATAGAAATACCTTCCAGGGCATTGAATTTTCTCGATTGTTGTTGGACAATAATATCCGGCCTCACAGAATATCTCTTTACCCAACTGTACAGGAACCCACATATCAGCTGCACCACAAGAATGATTCAGTTTGTCTGCAGGTTGTTGGTAGTGGTATCTGCAAAAAGTTTCTAAGAATATAGGTCTTAATAATGTATACAAGTCAGAAAGAGTGTGGAAATATTAAAATCAGGATGAAACAAGGATAATCACTTACGGCAAACAAATACCGGTTGTTGGATTGAGCTTTGCAACAGGACAGTGTGCACCCAAGGGGCATGCTTCAGTGACAAGTTAACAGAAACGTATTGTAAGTAGTTGGGAATCATACATTGGAAGCACATTGAAACTTCTTAAGAAATTTAAACACAAACTCCTTGGATTATGCATATAAGAATAGCAAGAAAACCAGGGAACATGTATCCAGTATCCACAAGCAGAAAATTCTGATTCCTAATCATATTCCAGCATTGCAAACGAGTTTCCTGACTCAACTATATACCATACAAGTCGTAAATGCAATATTTTTAAATTTGACTCCCTCTGCTGTGCAACGAGTGCACTTTTTACTGATTCCTAGCATGCAATCGATATCGTGTCGATATCTAAAGCTTGCACCTAATACCTCTGTGGCAATTTCAGCTAAAATTTTCATATTTACACACAAAAGGCAAAGGTGAGAAGGCACTTGAGTGAAGTGGTCAGATTTTTTTATCCGTGTCAGAAGATAACATCTACTGTGTGATGGAAGCATTTTGCATGAAAAAACTTATAGAAAAGATTGAGGCTCTAAAAGCGGCAAAACTGTGGCATTGCGAAGATACAGCAAAAACAATGCGACGTAACACAAGTTTTATGAAGAATTTGCTAAAATACACTTACGTATCATGCAAGTGAGACCTTGAGGGCAGAAAAATCCCTCGCAACATGGTTTGCTATTAGTTGTCCGGAAAGGCATTTTTTGTGGATCCGTCTCATTGAAATCATATTGTTGGCCTGGATTTGCAGCACTTGCCCATCCTGCCTCACATCCAGCAGTCCAAGAGGACAGGTTACAGTTTTTGGTGGGTTCTAAGAAATGAGATTGAGAGATGCTTTTCTTGGTGTCGCCAGCTTTTTTCAGGAAACTGGTAAAATATACTCTAAGTTCTGACACGGTACACAATCGAATTGGGAGGTCTGAAAGTTAAGTATACAAGGACAATAATTAGGAAAGAAGATATCACGTCAAAACACACAGAGGAAAAGTAAACAAAGGCACATGCTCTTATTTTTGTAATGATTGCATTCATAAATTACAAGTTTGGTTTCATAAGACGCTACACCTTCAATTGATGCCCATTGGCCACATATTCATAGATTATGCCTTGCCACCTCCATGCACCATATGTATGGAGGAAAAGTTGAAGTTCATAATCAAATGTGATTTTTGAACAATCTTCCAAAAAGCACTATGATAACAGTTCAGGATTAGGCCAAAGGTCAAAATGCAGAGTAATCTAAGATCTTTGCTGATTGGCCATCTCTTATTCTTTAAGAGTTCGTCCTAAATCGTTTAGCTTATCTATCAGAACTATTTTCTTTAGGAAGCCATGATCTACGGTTCTGAGAGATGTAGATGTTCCTGGTATCTCCATCACCGACCATTTCTCATCCAGTCATTAAACAAGCAAAGTTTATTTTCAGGTCCCTATCGATCAGGAGAGGTATGCAGCTGCTGCTTTAGCATTGGTTGATTAAATAATAAATTGAAATCACAAAATAAAATCATGAATTTATTAAATAATGGAATGAGTTTGATGAAAACACCTCAATATTATCTATATTACAAAACATTTATATTCTTAAAAACACTTGAGTTGTATGGTTCTGAGTGTTGGGCAGTAATGAAGGTGTAAGTGAAGAAATTGGAAGTTGCAGAGTTGAGGATGTTGAAATAGACGTTTGGACAGACCATGCAAGATAGGATCCCAAACGAAGTTTTCCGTTCGGAACTAGGGGCTGCACCCACCGCAGATAAATTGAGAGAGAGTAGATTGAGCTAGTTAGGGCTTGTCCATAGAAGACAGTTTACAACACCGGTGAGAAGAGTGGAGAGGGTAACGCTTGAGGGGGAGAGGAGGAGGGTAGGCCTAGAAGAACGTGGGATGACCGGTTGAAGATGGACATGGGCACATGGCAGCTTCAGGCATTTCCAAGGACATGATCTTTGACAGGAGTTCTTCAAGGCATAGGACTAGAGTGGCCGATCATTAGTACGATCCGGTTGAAGGTGTCACAAGGGTATTGAGTGGAGGGTAGAAAGTAATTAGATAAGCTCCTCATGTGGGATAGTTGGGCCACCTTGACCAGACCTGACTTTCTTGCCTCACTTTCTTAATGGTCATCTTACATGTTTAAGTTGCTTTATACATTAGTTCTACTTGTATCACATGTTTTACCTTCTTATGTTGTCCGTTTACACATCATCGACTGGTGCATACACAATTGAAGCGTTATTCACCGGTTATATCCTGATTACCTGTTCTAGACACCTTTGTGCGATGCACAAGTTGAGGGTTTTCACAGGAATAGTCTCACAATCCTAGTGGTTTGAGATAAAGTTTTGTGTCATCCTACCCTCCTAGACCCTACTTTCAAGTGGGATATACCCAGTTTTTTGTTCCATTTGATTATGATCTAGCATTCCTTAGGCTATCTTATTCAACTAGTACTTATCTGAATGAATTTTTGTGTAAGGTATAACCATTTTACTTCCTGGAAACGAGTGTCTTTAACAAAGAAAAAACAAAAGAAATGCATCACCATGTAACTTGTCTTGGCAGTTCTGGAAGAACTCTTCCCTGCCACTGAAGTCAAAAGCTCCATTAAAATCCTTTTTCCTAAAACAGAATACAGATATAGGTGAGAGGGCTGAAGAGTAAAACAGATACCAGTGGTGCAGTGTACTCGGTACTCACACATTTTCAGTGCAAAATCCTATCTCTCTTTCGATTGCTGGCTCGTATTTTTCAACTGTCCTGTTAAATCTTCCAAGAAAAATGTTTGAAAGCAATGGTGATAATCGAGGTTTTGGATTGCGTGCACCAGGAGCATCTTGAGACCAAACATGGTGTGGAAAATGACCCACAAAAACAAGTAGAATGAGGATCAAGTATTCAACCCAAGAGGCAATTATCCTCCTCTCTCCACTCATCTTATTCACGTTGCAATAGAATCATGACTCTGTTTACCAGAAATGAACAAGAAACGAATATCGAAATCACCCTAAACGTAAATACCAAATGGGTACTACGTAATCGAATTATTTTTCACCAGAGTTGAATGATTGTTGAGGAAATGTAGTTGAAAAAGAAAATCTGAGAAAAGATAGTGATTTAGGTCAAAGGAGGTGTTTTGGCGATTGCGAAAGGATCGAGGATGGATTGCAGATTGGGTGGAGAAGCATGGTTTTTGGGGTGAAGAAATGGCGGGGAGACAATGACGGTAATCTGAATCTCAACCTTCAAGCGCTTGAGCAATTTATACGTGTGCGGTAGAGCAACGAGTCAAGGGCTTCACTGCAAAAAAAAAAAAAAAAAAAAAATTTAAATCGTCTATCCCATGAACATCGTTTTGTACAAAAATGGAAGTTATAAATTTATTTAAATTCATATTTTTACCAACTAGATTTAAATGCATTAAAATCATCGAGTACTCAAATAACATGTTGATATGTGTTGTATCATTTATCCTTACTTGTACAAACATTCAAATTATCTTCATATGATATAAATGGACAATAAGGAGCGGCGATGGACCATGAAAAACTTATTGTGTTCTTCATTTCTTTGCAAGTACTCTATTTGTTGTGTTTGTAAGTTTTTCTCTTTGTAAGATTGTTTAGGATAAGTTATCATTTCCTTTCTTCCGCAACAATCTTTATTGTATCTCCGTATGTTAATTCTTGATATACATCAATAAAAATAAAAAGTTTAAAAAGTTTGTGTAATTGTATTCAACTCCCCCATTCTACAATTATTTTATATTTATTGTCATCCCATTCGGGACCAACAAAACTTTAATTAATAAATAATTAAAAAATAATAATCGGTACGATACGGTATTACCATGACATGTGACTTTTAATACCATGTACTAAACAAGTTTAGACAGTTGGTACGATACTACCAACCAATTAAATTGGTAACGACTAAATTGATACGAGAATTGATTGGTTTATCTTGATATAAAATTGATGCCACTATTCCTTTCTTCTAATTTCATCATAGATCCAAGACTCTATACTAGAACCCTAGTTGCTAGGCTAGCAATCAAGCTTTAAATTTGATCTAAATGAACCTGCATTACAAATAAGGTGTAGAATCCTATGGCTCGTTAACTTGCTACTTTTGCGTTTTGGGTGTTTCTAATTGTATTCGAGTAATGATGCTTAGATGGACTACTTTTTACGAGAAGAATGATGGCAGGTTTTGTTTAGAATTGTACATAAAATTGCATAGAAACTAAACAATGACGTCAGTAAAGTTTCAGACATGTAATCTTGTTGTACAAACAAAATTCTTTATAGCTTTTCAGTCATGTGTTATTAATAATTTAACAGTCATATTGATTCATATGAACATGTTTTATTATTGATCAAAGATACTTCGTTTTTGTATCTCTTCGGAAGCTAAATGTGTTGGTTGAGGATTAATTCAAAGTCTATTTTTGTAATTCATATTTAGACAAAGATTATTTAAATGATATTATTATAAAAATAGATGTGGTTTAACGCAATTAAATAGTAGAATGGATACAAATTACAATTTCCCAAAACAATATTTTGAAATATAATATGATCAAAGGACCGTCTATTAAACACTTACCATGTAAGTGTTTACAGATATCCTTAGAGTATGGAAAGAACAAAAATTTTTACCCGATAGGTGAAGGAAAATATTCTTACCTGGTAAATGTTTAAGACGCTTACCAATAATCCATTTTGATGGTCAAAAATGTTACACGACGATAAACATTTACATGGTAAACGTTGGATAGACGGTCCCTAAGTATATCATAATCCTAATATAAAAATTGATGGTAGGTGTGAAATTTGAATAGAAAAGAAAAATGATTGTTTTTCTGCCAAGATATATGTATTATGGAACACTGAAGCTAATCATGGCATTCTCAAGATTGTACTCTCCAGTCTCCACTACATACATAATCATGTATTTATATGTCAAAAGATTCAGATTTGATGCTTTTTAGCAAAACGAATATAGCTTTTTAAATAAAGCAAAATAGTCATCCAAATTCTTGTTTTTGTTCTTGTTTTTGTAGAATACAGATTCCCCGTTTCTTTGTCTTGAAGGCATGTCTGTATAAGTCTAATAGTTAGGTATGTCGTTCATTCAAATCGTACTCATCTCAACCGTATATTTAATTTGATAAATATTTGTTTTCGTAAATATATCGGTTGTTTTTTTAAAATAATGCGTTGAGTATAATAAATGAACTCTAGTCATCTTTCATAAATATTAAATCATAATAAATGAACCTACATAAATATCTCAATTAATTTGTTTATATAAATAACATGGTTTCTATTTAAATACCCCTCTCTCTATCTCTATATCTTTTTTTTAAGTATATAATATTTTTATACAACAAATAAACTCACACATCCTCCTCATATAACCATGCAATCTCATATAACCATGCAATCGTTTATGGGTATTTGCTTATTTCCATTCTGATATATTTAACAAACCACATCCACATGATAAAATTTGTGATTGGTTTTATGTACATTTAAACTAGACAATATTATTTCTTACAAAACATTGAGATGACTCCTAATAACAAATTAAAGTAAATTTCATTTGTAGTCCTTGTACCTCTTTTTTTGACATTGGTCGCCAAAATTCATTTCATATAAGTTTGTCATCTCAATTTACACTTTCGTACAGTTTTGGTCCCTCTCTCTCTAAGAATGTTAGAAAAGCTTCCATTAACTCGACATTTTTGTTGTTTCCTATTTTTTCTTTTAGAAAATTGTAAATTTAATTTAATTTACGTATTTGGTCCCTTCCCTCCCCTTTCCCGGTTGCTTCGATAGACTCTCCAGCCAAATCCGCCAACTGCCCACCCAATGACCATCAACCACCATTCATTCTTCTCCACTACTCCTTCAGAAGCCATCTTTGCCCTACCACGGGAACATAGAAGTTTTTGGAGTCCGTAATCTCTATGCATTTGGGTAGATGAAGTTCAGGTATTCCTCTACAAAGTTACTGGTTCCCAATTATTGCACGCATGTTGGCAAAAACACCTTCAATAGATACCTCTGCCTCAAAATTATCGTCCGATAGATATAGATGCTTCAAGGGTAAAGTATCTTCCAATTTGTTTCCACCTAATCTAATTTCAACCGATGAAGATGATTATGGGGTGTTGTTGGAGTTGGCCGGAGACGATGACAACTTGGAGAAGGAGATGCGAGGGTTGCAAGGAATGGGTCATCAACTTTATAAGCTAGGGGTCACCGTAGATGGCGCTTCTAAAAAGGGGTGAACAATTAAACGGAAAGGACCAAACCCGGACAAAAAAAAAGTTAAATATTGAAGTAATAAATATATGTGCATTAAATATTTGAAATTAATTACAAAAAGATGGTAGGGATAAGCAAAGCGAGGGTACCCTTTGTTTGAGGGAATGAACCCAGTTGGTGGAGTTTGATATATGTGTCATCTTTGTCACCACAAACAATTCAATTCTTTTTATTCTCATACTTTTTCTTTGACCACAATATTAAAAAAAAGATGATGATGTGATTTTGTAAGAAAATGGTAGAAAAGGAAAGTGAGCATTTTGGTGAAATGAGCCACCTTCCTTGGAGTCACACAATAGACATGATCCACATTGTCTCCAATCATTTTCAAACTCCCCTCCCCAACCACACAATCTTTTGCTCCCACTTGCTTCACTTCCATTTCCATCTCCATCTCATAATCAAATATGCCTAAGGCTTATTTTATCTGTGCTTTTTTAAATCTATGGCCTTCTATTAACTAGTGATATTCTTAAACCTGACTTTCACTCCATTTCGTTGTATGTCAAAACCTTCAAACACACGTATGTTAACAATCTCGAGTGTATATGAACCCCAAATCCCACTTTTCTTTTATGGTAAAACATACGTACATATGCCACAAAGGGTGTGTTATTTTCCGTTACCTTCTCAATGTTCTTTTAATCATGCAAATAACATGTTCGTACAATATCGAATCAAATTTTGTTATAAAACAAATAACAAGAACCAAAAAAGCCCCTTCAAAGCATTTTCAAACTTCAAATCCCCCTCCATCCCACCAGGACATATCTTCTTAAACTGCCCATGCCTCTCTCTCTCTCTCTCTCTCATATAGATATATACATATATGTATGTATATATGTGTGTGTGTGAAAGATATAACCTCTTTACTCTCTATGCACTATATAAATCTTTCCTAGTTGTCTAACATCAACACATCCCCCCCCCCTTCCCCCAAACACACACAAACCAAAAGAAGTACATATATATAAAAAGAGGATGCAAGTGAAGATTCTGAAAGCATGGGTTAGAAAAAGGAGGCAGATGAATGGAGTTGTACCTTGGGTAGGCCGTGAAAGGTGCTGCACATGGACATCATCGTCCATTCCAAGGGATGTCCCAAAGGGTCATCTTGTAGTCTATGTAGGTGAAAACCACAGGAGGTTTGTCATCAATGTCAAGTTACTAAAACACCCTTTGTTCAACGCGTTGCTGGATCAAGCTCGAGAAGAATACGACTTCACTGCTGATTCCAGACTCTATATTCCCTGTGACGAGGAGGCCTTCCTCAGCGTGCTTCATTGTGCTGCGCTCCCACAGGATCGAAGAATCACTTTCTGCCTTTGAATTTAGAGGGGTTAACTCGATTCCCATTCAGTCAAACAGGATTTTCCTACAAGATTTCAAAACTAATGTAACAAATGCAACTTTAATGTAAGATAAAGGAAACCATTTTTTAAAAGAATTCTTGAATCTCGATTAAAGATTGTTAGCAAGCATGAATCAACTGTTTCCACAGGATATTTGGTGGTTGTGCATCTACTAACATAGAGAATGGCTATTTATGCAAAACATACAATCCCCAAACAAGAAGTAACCACCTAGATTCATGAAACATTAAGTCATTGACAATTTCCAAGAAAAACGATTAGAGTAAATGGAAGATTAAGACTTCATATTACCGAAATTTCATAAAACTTCAAAAGGAAATCTACTTTCAAACTATATGTATGATGGCACGTTACAAAACTTTGTTGACTTGGATTGGTACAAGTCGGCAATGTTCTTGAATGAAGTTTTTACAGATGCTGCATGAAAGATGCTACCCTTTTTGGCAAAATTTCAACCTATCTATCTATTGTTATCATTGCAAATATAGTCATTTCCTATTTTTGTCAAAGGTTCCTGTATAGTTATCAAGGTACATATATGCAAGTCCTCTTGATTCCTTTTAGGTGAATTATATTACTTTTTGTACAATTTACTTTACGGAACACAATAAAGAAGCTATATGTAATGTTAAAGGAGAAAATAGAAGTTACTAGTTACTGTATGAGACTAAAAATGAAAAAGTGGATACCAGAAGGCAAACTCAAACTGGTAAACACATGATAAAAAAACACAATAAGTCCACTAATAAGTCAAAGATAATAACAGGTAATAAACATATACTCACATGAAACTTGATGGTTATCAAGGAGCCCGCCTCGTGATGTAGGATGGTGTGGCAGTGAAAAATGCCATGTAACATGGAACCAAGATGCAACCGACAAGAGTTCCACATTGAGCCTAAAAATCCTTTTATTGAACCAATAGAGTTACATAGACCAAAAGATAAGTAACATAAGAAAAGACCTAATTGCTAAGTTTCAAACGTCTTTTTCCTCTCAACAAGTCTTTAGCTTGTTCTCTGCTTCTCGTCAGCCAACAAGAGCTCCCACATCCCCTTCCATGAAATTTTTGTGCCATCTTCAATCTGTTTCATAAGATCCTTTTCACAGCAAGATTTATATAATTAGTGGTTCTTCTTTGCTTGGTAACCTAAAATACTTTCCTAATTATTCTTAGAAGACTACGCCTTTTGTTTATTAATTAAGGGCCTGTTTGTTAGCAGCTCAATGAGCTTAATGAGACTCACAGCTTATTCGGTCAACTATACATGATTGTTGGGTAATGGCTCAATGATATAGAAAATGGTTTATTAGTAAGCTTCTAGGGGGATCTTTATGCAGAAAACCAAGTTTTTCCGAAACCTGCCATTCCCAATTAAAAAACATGCTCATTCCATCTACGAGAAGACCCTCCCACACAAAAACTTTCTCAATCTATACAGACAGTTTATCCATACATGACTTAATGGAAAACCAACCAAACAGCCCCTAAGTCACTTCAAAATACATTTGATGTCATCTATATTCATTTCTTCCTTTTTATTTTTTTTTATTTTGATAAATCAGTTTCAGTTGGCACCATGCTCACCAAGCGCCCTGGCTAATACGAAACTGAAGCAACTTCTCTTTTGAATGCCGTATGAAAATTAACACTTTCTCTTTCAATAACCTTAAGTTAAGGTTATCTTTTTTTATCCATTCTCGTCTATACAAACTAATGTTCACAAGAGTCTCTTCTTTTGACCTCCTTTTTCTAGTAACTAATTACAATATTAAATCACAATGTCAACTACCAAAGCGCACTAATTCAATCAAATTTTGGACAGGCAGCGACTATAATGGTACTGTTGTTAAGGAAGCCATGATCGAATTGTTTACAAAATTGAACCACAATGATAAAAAATTGTTAAAGTCTAAAACTACAACGACCTAACTATAGGTTTTTCCGTCAGATTTACCAACATAAAACAGAAGAAAATGGAGTACACATATTGTGATGACGCATACTGTGATTCCTAACAATCAAACTGCAAAAATAGCCATTCTGTCTGGAAGAATGTACACATATTATACAAAGCATTGATCGATTTTCATATCATCTAACAGTGGTAATGGTAAGTCACATTTGCGGAAACACATTTAAGAAGTAAAACACCAAAAGATTACCGCTTCATTTAAGCACTCACGGTTGTGGGTGGGGAGCAAATAATGCAAGAATTCACATCAAGTATCATCTAACGTCTTCGAGCAAGACTTCAAGCTCTCTTCGACCAAAAGGCTGTCCACTAGAATTAGCATCCATGGACTTCACAGAGAAGTAATACATCAGCCAAGCCACCATAAAGTAAACCTCCATAAGAGACTGGAAAGCAGAAGCAAACAACTTGCCAAAGGATTGTAACAATATCCATCTTGCAAATGACCCACAAACAATACCTTCTAGACACTTGAGATTGATGGCAGGATGCACCATCAACGACAACAAATGACAACCTTCTTTCACAACTTCCCTTCCATTCTTTCTTGAATCCACCATAGCCACCCAAGCATCCACAGCAAAAACAAAAGACATAAACATATCCAACAAGAACCATGATAACATAAAACCATAAATCTCCTTCTCAAACCCTTTCACCCAAGGAGTCACAATTGAAAATGGCATAAACTTCAACCTAACGAAAATCTTAAAGATTGAATATTGATCCTCAATTTCTCCAAAAAACCACACACCTAACAGCTGAGTCAATGCATCCCTGACTACCCATCTCATTACAATGAACCCAGACAATCTTTTCATACCCAAACACGCACCATTCCAGAAAGTCCTGAGGAACGACCTGTATCCCTCCAAGAAATCGTTCACCACCAGTACAAATATAATCCCATGAACCCAAGCATGAGTAGCAACAAATAAGAGAACCACAAACCCATAGGAAGAAGATAAAGCACCAACAAGAAACAACAATGCGGTCAAATCATGATGTTCTAGGTCAAACCTCTTCAAGAAGAACTGCAAAACGGTTTTACTTCCAGCCTTACCATCAATCACTGCAGACTGATTGCTATCATCAACGACTTCATTTTCTTCTTCCTTTATGATCTCGATTGATCTGAAAGTCATCTTAGCACTAGAACGCACGGTTTCAGATACCCTAATTCCGTTATCGGACACGAAATTGGAGAAGCCCAATTGGGGATCGAAGGAGTCGAGTATGAATGAGGTGGCATTTAATTGGGGTTTGGAGAGGCTTCCAAAGAATCGATGATCGAGTTCTTCGTCTCCTGAGAAGAAATCGTCGTCTAGAGTGCCGACGCGGGTGAGCTGGAGAAAGGGGCGGTGGCGGCGGCGTTGTCTGGTGGTGATCGTGGTGGGATTGGGGGGGAGTTGAATTCGAGAGAGGAGAGATTTTATGGAAGGGTCGTTATCGATGAAGGAAGTGAGGGAATGAGTGGCGTTTTCGACGCTAGCACGTAGAGAAAGCAAAAGGAAGGAAAGATAGAGAAAGATAAGGAGATGATGGCGTGTGGAGAAGATGGTGGTGGTGGTTTGTTTGAGGATTTCAGTGGTGGTCCGGAGGTCAATTAGGCGCGCAGGCGGCTGTGGAGGACGGTCGTTCATGGCGTTGGGTTATCGGGTTTTCCCGATGAATGACGATGGATCTTGATTTCCTACAATACATGTGATGAACAATGATTTGGTTAAATTACTTTGCACCTTAATATAAAACCCATTTCGAACTACTTTTCCAATTCAATTATATTCTCTCCTATTATTTTACTAATATGTCATTACATTCTTATTAGCATTTTATCTTTTCAATATATGATTTAATCTGATTATGACATAAAAATGGTATATAAAAATACCCTTATTGCTCTTTTGTCCCTTTGAGTTTTCCCAATTTGTTACTTATTGGTGTAAGCCAAAAAAAATAACCCTAAAATTTAAATCTCAAATTATATATATAGTTTGATTAGTTTCATATAAAATTACTCTTTTTATACGAACAAAAACGACACACCAAGTTGCTACATCGTAGTATAAACTACCATTAACTTATGGAGCAAGTGATTGGACGTGGGAACGATAGGGAACAAATGTAACAAATAAGCAATTTTGTTTCATGTTAGGAAAGTCGACAATCCAACTTCTCATAAGACTCGTAAGAATTTAAAAAGTGTAATAGTGATTTATACATTATACTCATAGACTTGGAAAATACATATGATAGCATACCTCGTGTAGTTTTTCAATTTTATTTTATTTTTGAAAACATTTTTTTAATTAAACAAAATTTTATACAATTTTTTTTAATTTTAAAATCATATAAAATCATACATTAAAAATATAAAAAATTAAAAATAAGTTAGTGAAGGTGATGTGGTCAAAATTGCAAGGGTTTAGTGTCTTTTTGGCCCAATGACTCAAAACCCTTGGTAGTCAGGTCACGGAATCAGGTCTGCCTTACACACTAGCTAGCATCAAAATGGCGACTGCAGCGGCCGCCGCTCGATCTGTTTTCCGGTCATCCTCCGTACGTAGCGCCGCCGCAAGAGTATCGTCCCAAGCCAAAGCTCCTCGCTCCCCCTTTCGCATTGGTAGACAGAATTCTCTCCCCAATTGCATCTTCAGGTAACCATCACTCAAATTCACGAACCAGATCTATGAATTTCGTAATTGAATTTTTCCTTTGTCCAAATCAGATAAAAGTTCACAGAACGCCTTCAATTGCTTTGAAATCTACACAGTACACCACAAGCATATGATCTCATTTATCATAAACCTAGATTTTAATCGTTCTATAGAACTACAAAAATTACGGTGCTAATTTGGTTTTCTGGCAAAGATTAAAAGGTGGAATGGGTGATATAATTCACAGCGATCAATTTTAGTTGTTGTAAGCTTTCTTTTGGATGTATTCAGGTGTCCGGTTGAAATGAGTGCTTGTCTGGAATCTTTGCAACCTTTCCACAACGCCACTGCTTCTGCATTGATGACTTCCATGCTTACCCTTTCTCAACGTGGTTATGGTTGGCTCCCTGAGGGTAAGATTTGAATTTTCTATGAATTATGTCACAATTGTGATCCATTTGTGTACTTTTTACGTGGTGCAATAGGGTTTAATAATTCTAAATTGGGTGTTTGTTTACATGGTGATTTGTTTACATGGTGATATTGCATTCGATTGTATCCATTACTTGTAACTCTAGACATCAGTAGTACTATGTGTGTGAAAATCTTGTGTCTTTATGGTGATTTGAAGATGGTTTTGTGTTTTAATACTAGTATCTCTATTTTGACAATATGATTGTAGCTCCGTGAATTTCAAATTAGTTAGCCAGGACTCTTAACACTCAAATAGTAGTGTCATTTGGTGCGACATTTAGACTAGGACAAGACATAACCGAGTGGGACAAAGATGCATTTTTTTGTTCCAACAATGTAGATGCAACAAAAATCATGGAGATTGGGACAATATTAGTAAACTACTAAACTACCCATGTCAAATTAAAACCCTGAAACCTTGCACAATTCTTTCACCCGCCTACCTCACTCTCGCCCATCCGGTCCAATCCTGTCTACATACGAAACGCACCCATAGAGGTTGTAGGTTTTGTTTATATCAATGCAGCCATCGGCCAAACTGTTGCTATGTGCAACAGTGCAAGTTCTGGAATGTCGAAAAGGCAATGTTGTTTGTCTAAGTTGTACCAGGTTAAGGTCTCTATCTTGTTGTGTGCTATTGACATTCCATGGTTTATTCGATCCTCTCACCCAAATAAGAGATCTTCTATGTTACTTTGCTTATAAGTTCTTGTAAAGCCAGAACAAGAGCCATTTTTTTATTGGATTTACACTGTACCCACTAAAATTACCATCCATTCTTGTTTTTGCTTTATGCATCTTGTTCCATATAGCAACAAACTATTCTTTCTTGCATTTTCCTCTGGCTTTCAACCTCCATGGCTCTTGATTCGTTTTCTAATTACTGCGTTTTTCTTATTGATTAGGTATCTAGCAAAGCGTCATAGGTTCCTCCTTGGTTTTCATTCAGTTTGAGGTAAGTTAGTGTTCATTGAATGGTGTCTTTAGATCACTAGAGATAGGTCTGACTATAGTCAAGGAAGCAACATCTTAGACTTGGTTTTACTTGTGGTCACTTGTGTTTTTATCTTTTACAACTTCTAAGATAGACGGACCAATAGAGATGTTTCCATGCTTCCTCTACTTTACGCCATCATTCTATGTATGCCTCTTTGTAATATAAGTTGATTTTTGGTGCGTGCTTCATTTGTAGGCGTCGACAAGACTAGATGAAGATCGAGAAGCAAAGGTGGAATTGGATCCGTCTGTTTTAAAAGCTCTGTTTGAATAGGATACATATAGGTTTACCTTATTTAAGATCAATAATGAATCACAAACTTGTATAACAGATTTAGAATGCGTGCATGCATAGCATAGTGCTGGAAGTAATCTGATTGACCGATTAACTGACATAGCATTTGTGTGCTAGTTCATGAATGAGATTCTTACCCGTCTTCTTTACTTCAACTATACCATAATTGCAATGAACTTATGAGTTGTATCCTTGTTTAATCAGCTTGCAATGACGATGTGTGATGAGTAGTCAGAGGATGAAAGCAAAAGGTTATGTAGGAATCGTTGGTCTATAGGGCTGTTTGCAGAAGCAGTCGAGTGATGTTATCGAATTATTAGACTTTTTCAGCCTGTTTTGACAAACATGCTCTGTGAAGGAAAGTGTAACAGACAGAATGTATTTTCATCACAAAATTGAATAAGTTGCTAGATCTTGTTAACTTTGTTTTCTCCAAAACCTGAAGATTTTGGGTTTCATGGTTTGGTGGGTCTCCTGAGATCCTTTTGATGACGTATGTTGTGTTTAAGGGAAAGGTATACAGAAAACTGTTTTTTCTTCGTGTTAGTATTTTCTATATATTTCGTACTTTGATTACTTCTAATTGATCCCTACATGGTTACTTGGTTCTTTCGGTGCGTTTGGTACATGCGATAGGACTAAACATGACAACTGGCAACCTGTCGTAGGACAAAAACTTACTATTCCACGTTTTGTAGCAACAGGAAATGGGGACAAGGACTTTGACTGCGTGTGATGGAAGTTCTTTTTTCTTCCACCAAAATAGGTGGAACATGATGGGAAACAAATGAGAGATAAAAGTAAAAAATTACTAATCTACCATAATTTGATATAATAATGTGATATTTGTTTAATGGTCACTTTTGCTCGTGGCAACCACCTCTAGCCGGTAACCACTGTTTGGCCACCTCCACAACTCTATCATCAGTTACCACCACCACATCCCCCCACCTCTACCTCCATCAAATTGGCCATAACCACCACCATCTTCATGGCCTCCACGGTCAATGTCGTCCACCAGCCACCAGTGACTACCACCATCATTGTTGCTACAACCACCTCCATTGCACATCCACCAATTCACAAGGATCTTTCAAACCAATCCTTTGTACAACACAGTTTTTTCGAACTATCAAGTACCATCAATTATATCAAAATTTTCTTTTAAATATGGTAGTACTATATATTTATGCATATGAAAATTGTCTTAAAATGTTTATAAGTTTAAATTATTTTAATATTACTTAATTTGTATCATCAATAACTATTATATGATATATATAAAATTATCGAACAAATTTTAGGACCAACTTATCTAAGTCTTGTTCTAATCATACAAAATACCAGGCAAACAACTTGTCACGTCTGGTCTTAATCGTACCAAACATCATACAGACAACTTGTCCTCTCCAGTCCAAGCAGCCCTCTTGTCCCGTCCGTTCATATCTATGTACCAAGGCGCTACCTTTCTTCGACGATAAACCGTTGGACCCAGAAGAAAGGGACTTGAGAAGAGGACATGCAAAATAATCAAGAAAGGGAGTGCAATCTTATGTGAGTTTAAGAAACAGAAACACTACACAAGGGTTTAAATGGTGACGACAAACTGTCTTTCAGTGAACCCTGAAACTAGTGGTCAAATACAAGACAAAGAAGAGTTTAAATAGGTTTATATAGGATAACTGGACAGAAGAGAAAAAATCAAAACGAACAAGATGACGCTGTTTATTTCAAAACCGCAGAAGCTTACTCTATTCCGCCGGTAGCTCGATATCAGCCCTTTCTTCTTCATCATCATGCATTTTTCTCAAATGGACCCGATGTGTTATTTTTCTTCCCATCAGAAAATGGGCATATTCTCCATGGCTGAAATCACAAAACTCTTGAAGAAATTGATGTGGTTTAATTCCCTCCCACAAGTAGGAAAAGTTGAAGTTGGGGTGTCAAGACATAAAAGGATTGTCAAACTCGTAGCGGACGTAAAAAAAGGAAGCAATTTATGCACATTCATTGACATTCTTCAAAGATGGTCGATGATTGCCTTAGTGAATTCGGAGGTCTTTGAAGAGCCACCAAGATCAGCAGTTCGGTACTTTCCTTCTGCAATTGTTTTCAGGACTGCATCCTGTATCCTATCCGCTTTATCATGAAGCTCCAAGTGTCGAAGCATCGAGACACCACTCAATAACAAAGCAGTTGGGTTTGCCAAATTCTGCACAAGTCAACCATATACTCTCATCATATTTAACATGCACCAGATGAAACAAATTCTTTTCAACTTGGATATCAAAAAAAGGTACACATGGACAAGCAGCAGGGGAAATAACAATTATTGCATTGCACCTTGCTGGCTTTATGCCCCAACCGAAATAATCCAAGTTTTGCACCATAAAGTACGGTTAGTGTTCTTGATGTGTTTTCAGAAAAATGAAGTCCAGGATTAAAAGTTAAAGAAAAAAAGGAGCTGAACCGGATAATAATGGGAGCAAGATTCTGAAGGCCCACATCAGGCTGTGAGGTGGATAGGCCACAAGAATTCCCAAGGAAGCCAAACTAAAGCAACCTAGTAAGGGTAAGATGTACGTAAACCTTACTTCAAGGAGTAGAGAGGTTGTTTTTGTAAAACCCCCCACTAGCGCCTCTGCCATGTAGCTCAGTTGGCAAAGAGGTGGGTGCCTTTGCCCAAATACAAGACTAGTCCCGGATTCCCTACCTACCCTAGGGACTAGAACAAAAGCTACTTGTGACTACCCCCAACGAGTCCTTCCCTACCTACCCTAGGGACTAGGACTCTGATACCTAGCTGTCAGCTCTCTAACCCTCCCCCATCCACCCTCTACCACTCCAACCCCCGTCCCCGACCATATAAACCCCGAATCCATACACAAAACCCATTACCTTAGTACTGCATCTCCACAAACTCCTACCTGAGTCAAGCCTAAAACTGCCATGTCCAGTCTCAATTGCTCTCCTTCCTCACTGGTGCCGACAGGCGACATATGTCTCTTACATACATGCCCAACCACTGCAATCTTTCCTTTCTAAACTTATCCATGATAGGCGCTACACCCAACTTTGCTTGGAAGACCTAGTTTGGTATAACGTCCAACATAGTTCGACCATGAGTGCACCTGAGCATATCCAGATATCCTCATTTCTTTCTACCACTTCCAACTTCCTTTCATGCCCCTTCATTATCTCCCAACACTCCGCCCCATAAAATAGGGATAGGTTGTACGGTGGTCACCTTGAGAGAAAATAAGCCACCAAGAACCTAAAACTACAAGGGGACCACTAGGGGTGCACGATGGCCTTGTGACTTGCATGTGTAACTGCCCAAATTAACCCACACATTGAGTTCCTTGATATTTTCACTTCTCCTTATCCACCAGATTTCGTTGAACACCACAATGGGGACAATTCTAGATGGGATTTGGGGAAGATAGATCCTTGGAAAGACACAGTACAAGAAAGTTTGAGAGAAGGATCAATAACTTAATTCCCCTGGATGACCATTGTCCAAACATCTCTCATCTCCCATCACTGCCCCACCATTTTCACTATATTACCAAATTTTCATTTAAAGACAAGACCTCAACTCCACACCTAATTTACAATTGTCTATCCGAGTCTTCTAAGGAAGCTATGGCACTATGATCATCCTACTAAGTGTACTGTTATCATCTTAGCAATATGGCAGCAGGGATAACTTTTCAGAACAAATACAGGAAGAAAATGCAAATTTGAATCTACAGTTCAGCACTTCATAAAGCAGCTTTGATTCTAACCTTTCCAGCAATATCAGGAGCTGAACCATGGACAGCCTCGGCAAGAGCAATTCCTCCCTCCCCAATATTTAAGCTGTGGATGAAGGCAAATGATATGAGAAGATCTAGTCGACATACTAAAGGGGCAAAAAAGAGAAGTAGCAGCTGCATAAATAGTACCAAGAAAATGCAGATACCTTGGTGTTAAGCCCAATCCTCCGATTAACCCAGCACAAAGGTCACTTATAATGTCACCATAAAGGTTAGGCATCACTAAGACATCAAATAGTGCTGGATTCTTTACAAGCTGTATATAGAAAAGAAATACCATGAGTCTCGTAATCTTCTTGAATATAAAAGTGCATTCTGACTGCTGCATACTAGTGAATTTTTCAAGATAATATTGCTTGCTGAGGCATTGTAGTGCCAAAACTTCATCAGGATTTGGAACACGTAAGAGCATAGATATATCATATCACAAGAGAGATAAGAGTGTGTACCATCATACAGCAATTGTCAATGACCACTTCCTCATATGTTATCTCAGGGTACTTCTCGGCAACCTCACGACAACACTAGAGATGTAGAGAAAAGCAATTAAGTATAATGAAACATGGTAGGAGCTATCTTAAATGTTTAGTATCTGAAGAGAGGAACACCTTTAGAAATAGACCATCAGTTTTTTGCATGATGTTAGCTTTGTGTATGGCAGATACTCTCCCTCTACCATGGGCTTTGGCATAGTAAAAAGCATATTCAGCCACCCTCAGACTTGCCTGACGGGTTATGATCTTAAGACTTTCAACAACTCCCCTCACCACCTAGTCAAATGCAAGAAACATCAGATTTGCATTACATTTATTTGAACGCATCTCTATGATGATCAGCCAAACTTACTTGATGTTCAAGACCACTGTATTCTCCTTCTGTGTTTTCACGGATTGTTATGAGATTTACATCATCATACCGAGTTTTGTAACCAGGTAGACTGTAGCATGGTCTGACATTTGCAAACAGATTCAGCTCTTTCCTCAGGGTAAGATTCAAAGAACGATGGCCTTTTCCAATTGGTGTGGCCATCGGGCCTTTCAAGCCAACCTTATTTCTTCGTACCGATTCTAAACTTTCCCATGTAACAAAACTCTGGGTTCTAGGATCCACCTCCGTTCCTACAAAATGTTCCTCCCATTCAATTGGAACATCTGCAGCACTGAAAATCTGCATAATGAGAAAGGCAAAGTCAACGTACAACCTCAAATAGCAACATGCATACAGGTTCATCTTCTAAACAGTTTTATTAAAGGTAAACTTAGAGTGACAATAGACAAGCCTTTTTGAAGGGATTATAGTTTTCTTTTGAAGTATGGTTCAAGTTATGTTGAATGGATACCTGTGTAAGATGATACTTGGCTACTAGGAACTCATTGATAAAAATAAAGGATATGTTCATACATATGTTATGTGTACTTACAAGTGCAAAACCAAACCGAAAATTGACTCATAATTGATACATTAAAATTATAAAATAGCTGGGCCTCGCATTCCTCCTGAAATTATTAGAGAACCACAAAATTTTCTAATAAAAATTTTCCCACCTTATATTGTTTGTAATACTCTGTCTTCCATGTAATGGTAGATAGAGTTCCAATATTCCTCCCTAAAATTTATACTAAAATAATAGGTTGGCAATTGAGCTCTCCATATCATGGTTATAGGGTGAAATTTGTCTGTTATTATCCCTACTTAACAAAATAATAGTAGACTGCCTCCATTGCAGGATTAGATATAAATTTTGTCTTTCGTGGTCTAACAAGTCATTTTAATATCCAATTTCTAATTTACTGTTACTTGTCATTTGCTGGTGTAATCAGTAATGGAATTAGCATTATGTTAAATACTAAAATTGATCAGCCATTACTATTCTACAGTAAATCAATACCAGAGTTTAGGCCAAGAATTTCCTATGAAGAGGAGTGCTAACATAAAAAAGGAACCTAACAGTAGTCCTCCACAAATTTAGATAAATTTCACAGAAATATCATGATAACATTCTCAAACTCCAATAGCCTATAAAAAAAAAGCATAAAAGGCCAAACTATGCAACAAAAACCTAAATCGAAAAGGCAACATAACTATAGCAAACCTGTATCAAAACACACAACTATCACCCTCCCTTACAGGATTAGATATAAAAACTTCGTCTTTCATGGTCTAACAAGTCATTTTTTAAATCCAATTTCTAATTTACTGTTACTTTCTCATTTGCTGGTGTGATAGAATCAGGATTACTTTGAACACTAAAATTTGATCAGCCATTACTATTCTAAAGTATATCTATACCTGAGTTGGATCCTAAAAGTAAAACTGCCGCATCTGGCCAAGATCAAGAATTTCCTATCAAGGGGAGTACTAACAAACCAGAAGAACTTAACAGAAGGCCTCAACAAATTTAGATAAATTTCAGAAAAATGGCATACGGATAGAATTCTCAAACCCCAAACTATGCAACTAAAACCTACATCAGAAAAGCAACATAAGTATAGCAAAACTGTATCAAAACATAAACTGTTGAGGCTCAAGTAATAATATAACTTATGAGGAGGGGAATTGGACCTCTTTGACGGAGCTAGCGATCTCGGGACCAATACCGTCGCCTGGGAAGAGAGTGGCGCGGATCAGATCGGAGGAACTTGAACAATAGCTCCGGTCGATCAGTGAGAAAAGCCTGTTGTTGGTGGAGATCTGATCCACGGCGCGGCTGCGAAGGAAACGTCTGGCAATCTGCAAAGCCATCGTTAACGACTCGCTGAAAGGAAACGCGAAGTGAAATGGAAAAAGGGAAGAAACAAAAGACGTAAAAGATTTTTAATAATGGGAAATATAAGTGATTTTGGGATTTTATTTCAACAAAAATTTCAAAATACAAGCGTATAATTCTTTAAGTTCGAAGAAATCTTCAATTATAATTATCTATCAAATAAAAAATATTTTATATTTTTTTTATTAGCGAGAACTTTTGAAATTAAATGTACAGAAGGAAATAATATTTTATGAATTAATGTTTAAAATGAAGAAATTCTTTGGAGATCTTTGAATATTGGCTTTTGATTCTTCATTTTAGAAAATTTGTTGGAGATTTTTGAAAATTCGATTTTTTATTTTAGAGAATTTATTGAAGATGCTATGAAACCACCAACAAGTGCAATCATAATACAAGTGCAATCACAATAGATGCTAAAGAGGAACCAATTGGTCTAAAGTGAGAGAGCTCGACTGACCGAGATGGGTAGACAAATACAGATTGTCTCGGTGATAATCTACAATATCATTTTAAAACTCATTAGATTACTCTGCAAAAAAGAAGAAAGAAAGTTTGAAGCAAAAAAAATGGAATAATAAAGACATTTTGATTTTAATGAACTTAGAACCAACAAAACATGACATGCGCAAATGTATCTCTTTCCATTTACGAAACAAAAGGTACAAATTGAATCAAACGAGTTAAGTTGGTACAAACAGACATAGATACACGATGGACAAACCCATGACCTCAAATATGTATACACAAAACAAAACTAACAAATCGGAAGTGGAACACCATTCCATCCTTCAACACATTCCAACAATGGATCGATGATTTCACCTTTGCACATTGCCGTGAACACCTTATCGAACTCTTCTCCCGGAGAAGTCGCCTCCTCGCCGGTCAAGAACCCGCCTCCGAGCTCCTCCCTCACAAACCTATACAACGGGTACGATCTACATGCCTTTATCCGGTTTGGAATCGACAATGAGCTGTTCTCGTATGCGCTTCTAACTCCCTCCACCTCTTTTGGCAAAAGGGTTTTCAGTTCGTTTTCAAAATCACCTATCTTTTGGAAGATGGAGGTTCCGGCGTCTTTCTCACTCTCGCCGTTGTTTAGAGCGTGGTTGACGAGGACTTGTCGGAGCTTCTGCATTAATGGGTACGTGGCGCTGCAAGCGTCGTCTACGTATGCAAACACATACTCCCTGTCGACCACACGAAGCAAGTCTTTTTCGCAGAATCTTGAAGGGTGGAGCTCGCCATTGACGCCGGTGGTTAGGACCTTCTTGGCTACTTGGCTCACCGTGTTCTTCACGGTGGCTTTCAGGTTTTCCTCCAAATGGCGCAAGTCTATGGATTGGCAGAGGGCTACTAAGTATGTGGATGACATGAGCTTTAAGATATCGACTGCTTCGGCTGTTTTTCTTGCGGAAATCAAGCCCAAAGAGTTCACATCTTGGTTGTGTTGTTCTGCGCTTTGGACGTGGTTAGTCACCGGATTTGCAAGAAACTGGAGCTCGGAACAGTATGAAGCCATGGCGATTTCTCCACCTTTGAACCCGTAATCCAAGCTTGGATTACGCCCACCGGAGAGATTCGAAGGCAACCCGTTATTGTAAAAATCATTGACAAGCTCGGAGAATTGGGCGAACATAAGTTTCCCAATCGCAGCGATGGCCAAACGTGTGTTATCCATGGAAACACCAATTGGGGTTCCTTGGAAGTTGCCACCATGAATGGCCTTGTTTCTTGAAACATCGATCAATGGGTTATCGTTGACAGAGTTGATCTCCCTCTCGATCATTTTAGTGGCTGATCGAATAACTTCGATTTGTGGTCCGAGCCACTGGGGCGATGTTCGGAGTGCGTAACGATCTTGTTTGGGTTTCTGCAAGGGGTCCATCTCGTGGACCTTTTGTGCAGCCTTAACATAATCGCTTCCATCCAAAATGTATTCCATGATGGCTGCAGCTTCGATTTGGCCGGGGTGATGCTTCAATTTGTGTGTCAGATGATCAGTAAACTCCGGCTTCCCCTGCATAACTTCGGCAAACATAGCCGATAAGACTTCCGACAGCAATGCAAGCACATTAGCTTCAAAAAGAACCATCGATGCCATCCCCGATCCAACGGCGGTGCCGTTGACAAGTGCTAGTCCTTCTTTAGGTTGTAACTCGAAGAACCCACCTTCAACACCGGCTTCAGCGAAGGCTTTTTCCGCATTAAGGACTTCTCCGGTGGGACCAATGGCCTTGGAGTTGGATCGACCGGTGAGAAGGCCGGCGATGTAGGACAAGGGAACAAGGTCGCCGGAGGCGGTGATGGTGCCACGAAGAGGCAGAAAAGGGGTGACGTTGTGATTGAGGAACTTGGTGATGGCTTCCAAGATCTCGAACCGGATGCCGGAGTAACCCTGGAGGAGGGTGTTGATCCTCACTAGCATTGCTGCCCTTGTCGCTGAATGTGGCAGAGTGTGGCTTGATTCCGTGCCGTTGCCGAATATTCCGGCGTTCAAAAATCTGTCAGAACATAAAAAAATTCGTAAATAACAACAATTGATGCATTAATTTTTTTATAAAAATTTCTTCTTGTTTGAAGTACAGTCAGGTTTCGTAACCGTCAAAGATGACCGCCGATGATCTCCAAATTAATTTACTTCCGGTGAAAATTTTGCATCCTTTTTACCGCAGTTCAAATAGTACGACATCAATGACTTCACTTTACCCACAAAAATAATTACCTGATGAGTTCCTTCTGAAGAGCGCCACCTTCTTTGGTCCTCCGGTGAGAGGTGGCACCAAACCCGGTGGTGACACCATAGCTATCAGTCCCTTTACCCATGCTCTCCATCACCCAATCACTACTCGCCTTCACTCCCGCCCTCGACGACTCCGACAACTCCACCTTCACACCACCGTCGTCCGTCGCCGCGATCGCCGCCACCTGCGATACAGTCAACGTTTCTCCGCCTAATCTCACTATCGGCCTCCTAAACTCCGCCACCATCCGCTTGATCTCATCCAGATGACTACCCTTCAATGATTCCGCCGCTATCCCCCAGTTCAATGGATCCTCTTTGACACAAAACTCAGCACCGAGACCATTTTGTTTCCCATGGCTACCCATTATCAAGATTTATTAGCGAAATTGAAATTGGTTTGTGTGAGAGAGAGAGAGAGAGAGAGAAGAAGGTGGGGTGGGGTGGCGGTTGCTGAGGGAGGAGGAGAAGAGCAGGCGGTTTATATAGATGGAAATTTGGGAGATTTAAATTTATATTTTCTGGTAGGTGAAGAAAATGGAGTTTCTATTTGATTTTTGAGGGGGGCCGGGGGGGTTTGGTAAGAAGGCGTGGTGGCTGAGACTGTGGGTTGGTTGAAACCTGATCTCAGCCGTTGATTGGAATCTCATCCATGGTGTGGGATGTTCAGACGTAGACTTGTTAAGCAACACCTCTCTCCACCAAACCCCTCTCCCCTTTCTAATTGGATTATCATAAGGTTTTTTTACTTAAAAAAATTTACGCTATCGATTAATTTTATTAAAAAAGGAAATTTAATCATTTATTTTATTAAAAACGATTTGTTTCGTTTAAATACATATATTTTATTAAAAAAGATTTGTTTCATTTAAATATATATAAACAGATATCTTAAATCTTATAAAAAAATGCTTCAAAATCTAATTCATACATGTGAAATATGTAAAAATAAAGGTCATATTTTATACATGCGTGTATATATATATAATTAATTACATTTTACATCCTTGTAGTTTCATTTTTTTAAAACGTTTCCTACAATTTTTTATGTTCCATTTTTGCCATGGATCTGATTTCTTATCTTAACTCGATCAAAAGAGTTCTATAATTTAGTTATTTTGTCAATTTCTTTTGATGTTTTTATCGTATGACTTTGGATACATTTTGTAGAGATAGGTAGTGATAAAGATCGAATCCATAACGAAACCCTAATCATAACGTTTTAAGATTAAGGGACTTTATTCATGAAACTACAAGTACTAAAAATTCACATGTGAAAGAAAGAGATGATGAAGAGGGTGTGAAAAGGGAGGAAAGGGTAGGTGGGTAATCTTATCAATCGTCCATTTGACTTATAATAATATATGTATATATTATCATCAACCTCTTTTGACCAATTAATAGACTTGACCCATTATCACAAAAGGATTCAAATAATAAATATGGATGTATTTTTGTTAGGTATTTTTAAAAATAAATTAATTCATATTTAATATGATGATGACATTTTCAAGTTTAATTCTTAAGCAAGTCCATTTATATGCGCAATTTAAGTCAAGTTTAAGTTCGTCTATCCAAAAATTGACACAAAAATTTCGTATTTTATGTGACATTCATTGTATCGCTAAATTATTGAATACATAAATAATTTTTTTAGTTTTTCTATATATTGGAAAATATCATACCATATAAAGAGTTACAAATGAGTCGAAGAACACCATGTATTGACGAAGTTACAGGGCTATTTTGTCGAGGGGTATAAAATAAATCAGATTGATTAAAAGCTTTTTGGTTGTGAAGCAGTGTCAAGCCAGCATTTTTGGCTAGTGATGTAACGTAAAGGAAGATATTTTCTTACGAAAAATGTGTTGGATGGGAAATAAGACCAGAATCCGAACTCCAAACATAGTTTTTTTAACACTAGCAAGCATTAAATAAGTAAATGTTAATCACGGTCACGGATGACGACATTCGGACATTTGGGGCTCTTCCTCATGTCAACAATCAAGTCCTTTAAAAGTTATTGGTAATTTTCCTAATTGTTCTCTAAAATCCCATGAAATTAGTCGAGATGGCCATAAAGAGGCCTATACTCTCGCAATTAAATAAAGAAAAATACATAAATATTATCTCCAAAAACTGTATGAAAATCTAAGCAAACATAAATACAACAATTGTTACACTTAAAAAGACTTCATTCATAAGAAAACTTAGGGGTCGTTTATTAAACGTTTGTTTGACAAGTGCTTATCGGATAAATTTCTTTATCGGATGAACATGACAAGGGCCAATAATCTTACCGGGTAAGAGCGATGAGAAGGATGTAGAGTCTTACCCGGTAAGTGAAGATGATGACTCTTACCCAGTAAATTGTTGCATTTGATACGTTTTGATGTACTAAAATCTTACACATCAAGATAAATTATAGTGTTAACTTATATAAATAAGCATTTACTAGATAAATATTTGGATAAACAACCCAATGTTTAAGATGATGGTGAGATGCATGGTTTGAAAGCTTTGGATACCAAGAAAAGAAATAGTGTTTAAATGGGATCATTATTGTTAGGAAATCCCTTTATGTGTTGCAGTTTTACATGTTTTTTTTTACTAAATGATCGGTGGTTCAACACTTTCTAGATGAGTAAAACTTAATTTTCAAAATGTAAACAGTTAAAATTTATTAAAAATGAATATTATATAAATATTTATACAAATGTAAAATATTGTTTTAAAATATTGAAACATTATAATAAACTAAAATATTGTATTTTGTATGTAGCTCAGTTGAGAAAGAAATGAGATGATTTTGCTCAAATATAAAACATGTCATGGGTTCGATCTCAAATTTCTAGTTGCTGAGTGAGCCAAAAAAAAAGTCCACAAACATTGGTGTCTTTAGAAATGAGTTCATTAAGGAACTATCTGGGGTTGCCGATAATCAACTTTTGTCTAAATAAACCACAACGTTAAAGAGTAAAAACATCTCCAATAAATTCACTACAATTTCTCTAAAATAGAGAATCAAAAGTCAAAATCTTTATAATAATTACATTTTAAAAATTCTATAAATTTATTTTATCATTTTAAAAAATCTGTTAAAGATGTTTTATTTTAAGATATTTTTTTATATCTCCTCGTTTTGCTTGTGTTTTTCATTTACTTGAGTTGTCGGTGTCTTGGAACAAAAGAATTTAAAAGGTAAATAAATACAAGAATAAAAACCTTTTGTATCGTATAAAAACAAAAACAAAAATAAATAAAAATATAATTAAAAAATAGAAATTGGCTCTGAGGCCACCTCAGAAACGACAAATTTATATGTGTAAAGAGGGTATGAGTAGGCATGCTTTTTATTTGCCAAATGGTTTGAAAGGTGGCTCCAGTCGTGACGCGTACACGGCGGCTCATCATCATTTCACGTGCTCAACCGCCGCCATCAATCTCTACGCGCCACCGCTACTTCTCCGATCGGGAATGTTCACCGCCGACAACCACCGCTCATCAGGATATCAAATTCATGCCAACATCTGATCAACTTTGAATGAGTTTTTTGTTCTCTTTCGGATATTCCAAAATTAATTGTTAAATAAATGCACATCTAAATTTACCCCATACAAGTGTTGGAGTGTATGAGTCGATCACATAAAACATATGATAATTAATTTACCTTTTAAACATTTAGAGTTTTTGGAATCATCAAGAGACAGACTATTTTTGTCAAACAAAATTTACTTCTTAATGATTCAGATGATGTCTCTTAGTCAAACTATTAAAAGGTAAACAAACAATCCTTAAGTAAACTCTAAAAATATATACAAATAAACGAATTAAATCAAGCGTAAATACATATTTATTATGAAATAATAAACACTTGTAGACGTTAGTTAGAGATCTATCATCTTCAGTAGGATGTTGTGATGGTTTCCTATCTCTTTATCCACAATACGATTAAATTGGTTAGATTTGGAGTAACCAAACATTTTTAGGCATACGTAGGAATTTCGATAAAATCCAAACATTCGAGATTCGTGAATACAATGATTATGGAAAGAAAGAAAAGAATATCCATGAAATATCTAAAGTGTTTTGCTTTTAAAAAGGTTTGTAATAAATAGATATTATCCGTGACAAGAGCATATGTTATGATTTTCTGCAAACTGTCGTTGACAACTTCAGCTTATGTTTTTCAGCTTATCATGACAACTTTCAGTTACCACTGAAGAGACAGTTTCCAGAGCTTGAAATTCGGTTATAAGTACCTAATTTGACCTTATTCATTAATGATTATAACCGTTCAACCGCCGTTAACCGCATATAACTATCGATCTCTTATATAAATATGTATAAATGAGAATCAGGGTACAAATATATCATTTTTTAGAGCCTTTGAAAGAAGATGAAAAACTTAAGAATTATCCCAATACGAAATTCGTGAAACCCAAGGCTTATAGGGTCGAATTATTGTATTCGAAAATTATTCATATACACGATTCTTAAGAGTATCTAGTCTCTCTATCTCATCCGGAATTACAGTCCCTAACAACAGACAATAGAGGAAAGGAGATACAAAGAGTGACGATGGATTAACGAGGGAAGGTATGTAGAAACACAGATGGACAAGAGTAGTTGCGAGATCGACGAGAAAGGACGATTACATGATTAACATCTAGTCTATAGGGTATAAGATTATTTCCTAAGGACGATTAGTATATGCATTAATGCGGTAGGCTAATCAAACCAAAACGTAAAATACTTAATTTCTTTATTTATTTTGAACTCTTTTGTGATAGCATGTTTGATGTTTTTGGTAGAAAAAACATTGGCATAAATTCTTTTCCACAAATCTTGTTTGAGGTATATAGTGTAACAACTCGTCCCATATAAATATAAAGTGAGAATTGTTAGTTTTTTATAAGTCTCAAGTAGTGGCTACCAATTATAACTTCCACCATTGTTTTAAGTTGGATTCGAAGTTATTGGGCTAGTCCGTTGCTTTAGGCTTTGGGGGTGTTATAAATGATATCAGAGTCGATCCTTGTACCATCGAGATGGTGGGGCAAACCTCATCAGATATGATGAGTCTACGAGAGGGGGTGTTTGTAACATCTTAGACGAATCTCACATTGCCGATGACAAGGAGAAAGATTTTGGGCAGGCCTGACGAGAACGTCAGGAGTTTAAGTGAGGGAGTTTGTAACAACTCGTCCCACATGGATAAAAAGTGAGAATTTGTTAGCTCTTTATAAGTCCTAAGTTGTAGGCTATCAATAACTTCCACCATAATTTTAAATTGAATTCAAATTTATTAGGTCACTTCATTGCATTGGGGCTGTTACATATGGCAATGACATGAGTGGAGGAACAATAATATGAGACTAAAATCCATTGAATGATTTCTTAATCTATCAAAAGATTATATATATATATATATATATATATATATATATATATATATATATATAGAGAGAGAGAGAGAGAGAGATAAAAGAAAATTGTATACATTGATATGGTACAAACTATGGAAACCGATCTTGACCAATCACATTCTTTCTTCACTTTAGGTTCAAATCTAAATTATAAATTAA